TCACAGAAATAAATTATTTTTCAAGAATAATTAAATAGATTTAACATCTTTCTTCAACAGAATTGCAGAATTCACAGATGGTACTTTCCCAAAGGAAAAAGTACTATAGCTTACTAGGGTATATTAGACTTAACAGTTACTATATACAGTAATGGACTTCTATACATTTTACATCAGATTAAAACTTTGGGTGTAAGATTCAGATAATTATTAAATAATTAAAAGCTAGACATTTTAAATGAGAATAAGAAAGAAAAGTATGTCTTTGTGCCCTCTTTTCCCTGTTAATGCCCTATCGGCCCTCCTGGCTAAACTTTGCAAGATCCGCCCCTGCACAGTTACCAGCCGTCGGCTGCCTAGAAAAAGATCCTGGTCTAGATAGTAATATTAAATCAATTCTAACAACAGCTTATCAAGCTTAATAGTGCTGCTGTTGTTCAGCCGCTGGTTTCCTCTTTCTGGTGCAAAGTGAGCCAAAAACAAAGAAGAGAGACTGACTCGCGACAGAAAAGCCGATCAGCTGATTATTAGCAGTTTCACGATTGAAGTAGCAACAGGAGAGGGAGAGAGAGAGGCAGTTGCTCTATATATCAGTTGTTAAGCTTAACGCGGGAATGCTTTACAAACATTCAGAGATGAACTTACACACTTGCTTTACTTCTCTCTGAGTTAACTTCCTCGGTGATAAAATGTTTGCTAGCAGGCTACAAATACGCACAGCCGCTCTATCACGTGACCACACTGCTCCAACGTGCTACGTTATGAGCCGAGTTACGCCGTGTAGCAAGTTTTGTGAGGTGCTTTTTTGATATTTAATGGATCGGATTACATTTTTTATTTCTCTCCGATATCCGATCCAGTAATTTAGGTCAGTATCGGACCGATACTGATACGTAATATATCGGTCCATCTCTAAAGAATACAGTAATAGTTATTATGCAAACTTCATGATTAATTAATTTAAAAAACTTAACACTGGATATTCATTAATCATTGGTAACATATAGTTAATCCAAGCATTATAAACAGAATTCATACAAAGTTTAGATTTTTGCATTTGCACATACAGGCAGCACGATGCTAAAGTTTTGCAACCAGCAAAAATAAACCACATTCTTGACTTAAATTTGGCCGACCCTCCATTCAAGCTCATCTCCTTGTGCACCTCCTGAATGCTTCCAGTTCGGCTGCATTCACACGTCTGCCTCAAACTTGCTGTGAGAGCAGGAATGAGCTTCTGCATCAAACTGAATGAGCAGTTAATGAAAGTTCAGAAGCACAAGCAAGAGAAATCTGTTGTTTTTTTAAATTCTACATTCATCGCACATTTTATTTTTTAAAATGCAGTTTTGTTTTGTTTTTTCAATTTATGCCAAGCGGTCAGGAACGGGCCCTCGAGGGACCGACTGAAAAGTAGCAGCTCTGCAGGAAGACCTTGAAGGAGATATCGGCCAAATTGTATTCAGGTAAGGATTTTTATTTTTATGGGAAAAGTTACAGAAATGTATGATGGCATCTTGTATTTGTGAATGTATAAATTCAAAAGTCCAACACGTACCATCTTCTAAAGTGAAAACAAAAATGTCATCTTCCTCAGAAAGTGAGCTCTCCCCCACAACTGTGGATGCAGCTACACGAAGCTTATAAGGAGTGTACTTGTCCAGATCTATACATAACAAGAGGGAAAAGTGACACTTTACATTGTAGTGGCAGTTATACTTAACGGCTTAAGAAAATGTCAGCTGAAGAGAATGAACACGCTACCTGTTATCAATATGCTCGTAGTGTTAGTAACCCATTTCAGGCCTTGATTACTGGGCAGTTTGAGACCATAAACAGTGTAATGTGTGATCCGCCCATTGGGATTGATGGGTGGGGTCCAGCTCACTAGAATGGAGGTAGAGCTGATATTCTGATAGGATACCTCAAGCACGGAGCTAGGGACTGAAAGATACAGACACACAAGATGTTAGAATTGGGCACCTTTAACAGCTCTATTAACATTTTTTCTTGTTTATATTTATTACAATTATTAAATGTGTACCAAAAGCACCCACCCTGCTCCCTGGTCTTCTCTGTGATATCTGCAGCAGGGCCCTCTCCTACAGTGGTGGAAGCAGTGACCCTGAATGTATACTCAGTGAAGGGAACTAGATCTGACACCAAGTAGGACAACTCCTCAGACAGAACGTCCATTACCTCCTGTCTCACTGTTACCCCTGCAGATTCATGCAGACACACGCACAGAGGATTTATGAATAGTCAAGGTTTTTTTTAATAATAATTCTGGTTAAAGCGAAGCAAAGCAAAGCAATGTTAAAAAAATGCAGCGTTTACAGTTAGCTCTCCCACCTGTGGTACCAGACACAGCACCGCTGCGTGTTGAAAAGTGTTCTGTAATTGAAGCATCAAGTGTAGACAAGCGAAGCTGGCCTGGGGTCAGGGCCAAGGGGGCAGAGCCTGAGGTCAGTTCCCCGGCATGTAATTGCTTCGTAAGCCAGGGTGGAAGTGTAACAGATGGCACAGAGGTAAGAGAAAGTGCAGACGTTCCAGAGACTGCAGAGTCAGAAGACTGCATATTTGGGTTGTCAGAGCGTGAGGCAGTGTCATAATCAGGGCTGGGCCTGTTGGTGGCCATGGGGTCAGTGGTTGGCTGAGCATTCGTGTTAGTGATGTAATCAGTGCTTCTAAGTCCAGAGTGTGTGAAACTGGAAGCAGTAGCACTAGTGTGCAGCGTGCGGTCTGAAATAGTAGCTGTAAAAGTTGGTGGAGATGTGATCAGACCAAGCTCAGCAGCTCTTTTATGCCTCCTTGAACTGTTATGGACATCAGGTGGACGTGTTTCATTTTCATAAAAACCAGTTGTATTCTGAAAGGAGACAAAAAAACACCTTATATATGGATATATGAGACTCATCAGCCCTTAATGTAATTTCTAATAAAATCAGTAATCATCAGTAGATAGCACTCATTATTAAAGGGGCTCCGATATAAAGTAGGTGTTTTTTTTTTTTAATTATTCCTATAATAGGATACAGCAGCACACAGTCCAATGTAATCCACCAGACTAGTGGTTTAAAAAAGCCTATAATCCACTGTAGACTATTGCAGAGTGTTGCTGAACCATATTGATCTTTGAGAGTGTAGTGGTCTTACATCCGACCGTAAAACGACGACAGTGTATCATCAGCTGTAATGGATTGTACAAGTATTCATGACACAGCAACATATCACATGTCTTTAACTGTGTTTTTTAAGCTGGAAGCATAGAGCGGTAGAGATAATATCATCTGGCTTACTGCTGTCATCGTGATGTTCTGGACCAGAGTTTCCTCAACCAGCACCAGGAGTCTGTATTGGATTATGGGACCGTTGGGCTGGGCAGGGCTTTTCCAACTTACACGAATTGAAACTGAATCCTCAGCAATTGCCATCAGGTGCTGCACTGCACTGGGTGCTATCCTCACAAACACACACACACGCACATAGATAAACAGAAGCACAAAAACTAAATTTGCTCTTGTATTTTGTATGTATTTATTTTATTTGCTACCAATGTGTGCGTCTGTACTAAAAGTGAAACTACACTAAGCTAACTAAACTGAACTTTTTCATTTATACTTCAATCGTGTAACTGTCTCACCTTCCGCAGGTGTAACGATGTCTCCCTTCGCTGCAGGACCCACCTCACCAGCTGCTTTTGCTCGGACGGCTACTATGTACCTCGTGTAGGGTTTCAAACCGGTAAAAGCAAAACGGGTATCTCCTGTGCTGTTCTCATATATAAAACCTTTTAAAAAAAAACAGAACGAAATTTAAAACTGCATTGATTTTTGCGTGTATTATGTGTGCATGTAGCTGTGTTTGCTCTGAGTCAACATTTATCCACCTGTGGGTCCATAAAGGTAGAGTACGTAGGAGAACTTTCCTGTCGTGATGCTGGGAGGGTTCCAGGACGCAGAGAATGATCGAGACGTCATGCTGAATACAGAGAAGTTTTGTGGCGGGTCTTCTGGAGCTGCACAAGCAGGAATATTTGTTTTCATACCTCAGTGCTAATATGAATACGAGTTTAATTAGTGCTAAAGTGTTTTCACGCTTCTTTTTCCACACCTGATTCTGGCATGCGAACCATAGTGGAGGCTATCTGTCCCTCTCCTTCAGAGGTGAAGGCGGACACCTCAAATAGATAGGCAATATAAGGTCGTAGCTGATCAACTCCTACTGATATGGGTACGTTCCAAGAGGCTGCAGGGGGCACAGCAGAGAGGGTGATGGGTGGCGATGATGCTGTTATCTCCAAGGGACTGAGAGTCGCACTGGACAGGATATCGGCTGCATCCTAGACACATGAAATCATGCGGGATAAAAAGAGAGAGTGCATTTAAGAAAAAAAGGAAAGAGAAAAGACGGTCGGCCTTGTGCATTTGTGCTATGTATCATCTTGACAGGAAAGTAGTATAGAACAAAAACACTTGGCAATAAAAGCACAGTTTAGAAGGAGGGTGAAGGAAAAACACAGTACATTGCAGTGAGGCAGGGCTACAGTCATGATGTCCACTGCATTGACCTCCAGCAAACGGACAATCTGCCCAGTACGAGCAAATCTGGCCTTGACGGCGAACTTTGTGATGAGGCCATTGATGCGGTGTGGCAAGAACCAGGTGAGGACGACGAAGGTGTGGTTATGAGCGTACGCTGTGAGATTGGTCACCAGGCCAGGGGCTGCAGGATGTGAATACACATGCAAATTCAGTGAAATATACATGCACAAGTTATTTTTTTATGATGTTGAGACGCTTGGATCGGAGTGCAAGGCTGTGTGCTTGTGCACGAATACCCACGGGACTCTGCTGTCTTTATGTATAAAGATTTGCTGAATGCTCCTACTCCAAATGGAGATATAGCTGCTACCTAAAGAGAAACAGAGAGAGAGAGAGGAAGTGTTGGTAGGCATAATGATTAATTCATGTTCCTGTCAGTTATCATCTCCCAGTCATGTGCTAATCTCAGGCTGCTGGAACAAGCTGCCGTAGCAGAGTTGATTCAGAGATCCCAGAGATGTATAATCTACAAAAATATATCTCATTATATCGCGTAGATGTAAACAGATCCCAACACAGTCTCAAGTCTTTGAATTTTTTTCCAGTGATTTAAGGTGGGATCAAAATTAAATAGCAATTTATCGGGTCAACTGTGGAGTCACTTAAATGGATTTTAGTTTTGTACTGGAGTAGTATGGGAACTGACATGTTATCTTAAAAAAGAACAAAGAAAAAATGTATTTCGTTCCTGCCTGAGATCAGAAAACAGCGCGCGCCGTTCAGCTATTTGTTTCTACCTTGTTGCCACAAAACGTGGCAGTGTCATCCAATCAGCAGCCAAGCACATACAGGGTAACCCCAGAATAATTAAACAAGCAATGGACATAATGGATCCGTTGATCTAGGTGCAACACTACAATACAGGTGAGCTAAACATAACCCTCATGTCCTCAGATTTTCTCAGTGTTTCCTGTCACCTGACTCTCACACCTGCTTCACCTGTTCTTGACTAAACCTTCCTCCTTTATTCATATCTGACATCACGCCATTGTTCTCTGTCAGTTCCTTACACATCAAATGGGTTCCAGTTTTTTTTTTTTACTTTTTCTGTTTACCACTTGCCTACATGCAAGATTGTTCTTTATTATTCGACTTCCATTCTTTATGCCAACATGACAAATGGCTGTGTCCGTGCCTTTCTAAACTGAATGCTTTCAGCTGCACATCAGAAATAGGTAAGCTAAGGAAAAACTATCTCATATTCAGCTTTAGAGAAAAACTCAATGGGCTTTACTTTGAGGAATTACTGTTGAAAAAGACAGAGCAGAAGAGGTTTTTGCCCTTGTAAAAATACAGTGCAACAATGCAGCTTTCATTAAAAAGCTAATCTGTGGCACAAATGCTTTTTCTATCTGTTTATTGAGAAATCTGTGGGGAAATAATGGCCCTTATACACTTGGTGACAAGAATGAACGGATATGTTCTATTACAGGCTGAGGAAGAAATACCAATTTGCTTATGGGCTCAGCTGTGAGTAGGGTCTAGAGGTCTAGCAAACTCAGAGGTAAAATTTAGTAACATTATACGTGCAAACACACACAGATCAATGCAGTATGTGCAGCTATAATCTGTAAGTTTGGCACGTCCATTTGTATGAAGGTCATAGCGGGTTAATGAATTCTGAAAACCTTTAAGCATGATCGCATTCAAGCTCACTGACAACAGATAGTGGAAAGAGCCAAGACACATCCATAGATCTGTTTACCTGTTTAATAATGCAATCAGGATCAATTACCAGTATTCAGCCAGATCAACAGAATAGTCTGATCCTCTGTCACATAGTTACACACTCACATGCTGGGAGAGGGGCAGTTTCAAGGAGGTCTGTTAAGAGGGACAATGATCACAGTTCCCAGAAGTATATCTATTAATCAATTCATTTTAACATAATAAAAACTCATATTCAAACGCTCTTTTATGTGCAGTATCCCTGCAGGACAGCTTGTTCTGTTTTGATTCAATCTGGGACTTTTTAAACAAAATTTGCTAGGTCAGCCTTTATTTGATAAGACTCCAGAGACTAGACAGGAAAAGGGTTTCCCAATTTTTTGACATGAAAGAAATGGTGTGGAGCAGACTTGAACCCCTGCCACTGTAACTCCTTTGGGCCACGGCTTTGTAGTCAAAACAGGTAAGTTGGAGCAGTTCCCCAGAATGAGTTTTATTTTGTTTTATTGTTTATAGTGAATTCACTGTGAACTTAATTTAATTCTGACTATTATATTCTACCTGAATGTGGTAGGTAGATCCTGAAGTGAAGTCAGTGATCAGGGTCTCTGGTATATCCAGGTATTTTGTCACCTGTGTGAAAGCGGGGTCAGGGTAAGGACACACCTCCTTGTACCTGCAGTAAGAAACCAGTTAGTTAAGATCATCATATCTCAACTTCACACTTATGAAATTTATGCAACTGAATGAAAATACAATATATGGTCAGATGCAAAACTGTTGAACTGTACTCCACTACACTTAATATTTCTTGTTTACTTATCTTAATGACCTTATAGTGCCATATCACCCCACTTTGCTCTCGCACTGCAGGTTTACTTGTTGTTCCTAGATTGTTTAAAAGTACAACGGGAGGCAGAGCCTTCAGTTTTCAGGCCCCTCTTCTATGGAACCAGCTATAGAGCTGCTTCATGAGGTGAATATTTCACTTTGATCTACATTAATCCAAAAACTGGTAACTAGCTCTGTGCTGATCTTTGAATTTTTAACATATAGTAATAAGGTCTTGTTGTAATATATTTGTAACATTAAAAATAATCCCTAGGAAAGTATTTCAAACCATTTCTGCACAAAAAAGCCAGGTTGTACTGTAGACATGTATCTCGAACACCTCAAATGCCAATTTCTGGCTATTTGCTGCTAATATTGGCATCTGCATTTATAACGGTCAATAAATGAAAACTGTAAAAGTGAAGAAGTGATCGTTGTTGATGTTGTATAGGTTGTCCAGCAGAAGGTATTCTGCGACATCCCTTTTGGCAACATGTGTAAACGTGACAGAAAAACTACATAGAAAAGATATAGACAGATCAATAAATAGATAGAATAAAGTATTTAGCACTTGTTTAGTACATGTTGCTGATTATACTGCACTTTTACACAAGATGTGAGATCAAAACTTTTGACTATACTAAACTATGATAGTGTATGTATCTTAGACAGTTTTCCAAAGAAGATCTTGAAAAACTACCTTATGACATATCCATCTAAATCTTTGGCATTAGACGGTATAGACCAGGAAAGCAGGATGCCATTAGAGCCGACAGCTTCTCCCTCTAGGATTAAAGGTGGACCAGGAACTGATGAAGATGAGGGCAACCGTGTGAAGGAGAGGAGATGATGTAAACACAAGCAGAACACAAGCAGTAAAAATATCTAAAATTACACAAGTAGCTGTATATTACATGTCTGTTAATCATCTGTACTTGAGCCAACTGGTGCCTCAGTGGGCTCAAATATGTAATCTCTTATCTAATCCCCTCGGCTTCTCCTGTGTAAAACATCACCAACAAAACAAACTCAGTACACTTGTTTTGATTAATAATTTTTGTATTATCTACTCGACAGACTACTGTGTCGTCTGAAGAATGGTGTTGTTATCTGTTGTAGACTGATCCTCTGAGTGTGTGTGGGTGTGTGTGTGTGTGTTGGGTCTGCATGAAGGGTGTTTTAGGCTGAACCCTGATGAATAAGGCTTCACACAGCAGTGGCATTTCACTGACATTCACTGCAGACCCATTCATCCTGTGGTTCAAAAGCCCAGGCTTAAGTTACCTAAAAGGAATTAAACAGCAAAGTAGGCACACACACACACATTTATACACGCACACACACCTCCGCTGTGCCAATCCCTTTTCCTCAGTGTGTATGTGTGTGTGTAATATATATATACAGTGAGCAAATACAAAACGAGTTCCTGATGGTGCTTTAACATCTGAAAAAACAAAACGTACACAAACGACACCAAACTGTGTGTGTGTCTTACCGCTCCCATTCCTGTTGATCATGCGGCTGACTCCAGGGCTGATGTTCGAGGAGGAGGCTGCTGTGACTGTTACAGTGTATTGTGTCTTGGGGCTGACATTTACCACATCGGCCTGTGGGAGCAGAAAAATAAATAAATCTACTTGCTCATCAGCAATGTAACGTGCTATTTCCCAATCATCTCTCTTTTAAAACCTAAATGTATTTTTGTTTGATGGATTTTAAACCGGATTTTATGCAAAATCATTATTTCTTAAAATTATAGACGGCTGAAAAATTGCTTAAACATTTTTAGACAACACATGCAGCAGTAATCCCCTTATTGTCTTTTCATTTGTCTTTCATTGTCTTTTTTCTTCAATTTTTTTTGCAGTAATATTCATCTAAATGACAAAATACATGCAATTTTCACTCCATTATTTTACTCCATTATGCTGCCTATGACAGAATTACCAGACCTCTCCTCATCCATCTAAATCAATTTGAAGGTGGGTATTAGTGAATGGATGACAGCTTGTGGTTGCACTTGTTTGTATTTTAACATCTGTGAGACAGACGAGCTCTGCTTCCCGCATCACTGCTTTTTTGCTTCAGTGCATGTTGTAGCATCTGTGACATCAAGGTGTTGGATAGTGTGTTACCTTTGAGAAAAATGACTAAACACTCAAGACACGGAAAGAAAGGGTGCTTTAGAATTGATCTTACTGCATGTGCATTCATTTGTAAAGCTAAAACGTGACTCTGAATGATTAGTGTATTACTGTTACACATACATAACATATCTATGTGCGCAGTTTATAAATAACTGTGTGCACCAAAGCCATGTAACCGTTGTCTAATTCTTACCTGTGAATGCACCTGGCCCAGGCACAGTGTGAGCAGTAGGATGTCTGAGAAGAAGGCCATGCTGGGTTTTCAAGTTAGCTTTAGTTTAGTCACAGCAGGTTAGAGGCCTCACCAGTATACCTGTTTCCAGAATTAGTGCACAAATGTTAGCAGTGGGCTACAGGTAATCCAGTGAGCCGGACAGGGATGACTCCGAGTCTAGAAGCTGCTGGTTAATGGCATTAATGAAGGTTACAGGGTTAGTCGTCCAGGCATTAAATACTGAAAGATCCTGCTCTTGAGGTAGTCCAAAATGTTTGGAATTTTACAAGGAAGGGCAGTGGGTCCTTTCATTAGCACAAGGCTAACAGTCTCCCACTGGTCTCTCCCTCCGGGAGAGCTGCTTAAGCAAATGAATGATTCAGGGTTGAGCTCAAGAGGGCAACTTAACAAATAATGAGATCTATTACTCAACTCTGTGTACTGTCTATGTGTGTGGTTTGAGGTGTGTCAGGTTACATTTTGGGGGGTAACTGACACCTGGCTGCCGGTAGAAGCCGGAATGTGACTGGTCAAGAGATCTATGTGTGTATGTGTGTGTACTTTTTTCTCTTTAATATTACAACACTACTGCAACTCTGAGTTTGTTCCTTTTACTCAAACACTGCTTCGGTAAAATGACAAAGGCTTTGATGATACTTAGGTGAACTTTTTACACGCTTGTTGTCCCAGCGTCTACAATTATGGTACATTTCTTAACTTAACCTTTAAACAGCATGCGTCTAACTAAGTATGTGTGTACCTGAATGTATCCGTCACGTGCGGGGTGCATGGTGATATTTCCTTGGTTTGGTAGCAGATTTACTTGGTAATGATCCACACACCCTACGGCCTGTTCCCAACGCAACGAGAAGGCACATGCAGATAGGTTTGTGATATGTAATCCTTGCACAGGGGCTGGCACTCAAGAAGAACATGAAAGGGAAAAACAATGTTAGCAGAGAGTTTCTAACATTTATGAAGACATGATCAAGGCTGGTGATAAGAACGGGGTGGAGGTGCTGCATCATTTGTAATATCATTTACCTGTAGTTACAGTCAGAAACGCAGAGCGTCCTGCTGTCACTCCTTTCACTCTTTCAACAGTCACGTTGTAGCTGCAGCCACCCAGCAACCCTGTAACCACAGCAACCTGCTTCTCCTTGGGTATGGTGAGTGTGGACGTGACTAAAGTGTTGGTCACATTCACTCGGTGGAAGTCAAACTCTCCATGTGTACTATCCCAGCTCACAGACGCAGAAGAAGAGGTCAGGTGATCTACATAGAGATGGTGTATTCCTGCTGGGCCTGAAACACAATTTTGAATTTTTGCCTGTTGTTTTGGAAAGTGCTCTTGTTTTGGTGCGTCTCTGTTTCTAGATGCTTTTGCGTCACTCACGTGTGCTGAACCTTTTGTGGACCGCATGACTGGAGTCTGAGCCCAGTACGCTCTGAATGCTAACCCCATAATCTGATCCGGGGATCAGATCCTTCACCTCACAGCTTGTGCCTTGCACAAGCACCTCGGTCCATGACTTCCTGTCTACAGACAGCAGGCCAAAAAGAAGCTGAGAAAAAAACAAAAACAAAACAACTAATATAACAGATTATATTTCTGTCTATTTTTATTCAACATTTTAAATGCTGCTCATATTTTCTACTTTAAATAATAACTCAGTGAGCACTTTTGTTGTGTGTCGGCAATGTGCTTGGTCATTCTTCCTGGATGTAGCTCTGTGGAGGTCATATTTCTCTGAAGTAACCAAATCCGTGGCGTGCCAACAGCGGTTGCTTAGTAACAACAGGTGAGTGTAGAACCTGACCCAGGTGATGCACTTTTATCTATCAATCATATTAATCAACATTTGGGGGGTATGAATCTGTATACCAATATACCATGGCATCTCGTACTGCCTCTACCTCTGGACTTGTGCATTGCTGTGCATGTCTTACCGTGTACTGCATCACCTGTCCTGGTGGCGGTCTCCAGGTGACAGACACAGACGTCACTGCGTTTTCTGAAAGAGTCACTTCCTGTGGCACCTCAGGAACTTGAGACAAGGTGCTTGTTAGCATTTGACACCACATACTCACACCTAAAAAGTTAAACTTTCTCTGTGCTTTACTGGTTCAGTTCATTCTAAACCAGCAGGGGGCGACACTGGATACGACTAAGCACCAGTGGTGGAGGGTGTATTGAGACTCTAGTGCTAGTAGCAAAACTGCAGTATAAAAACAGTCTTTTAAAAGTAAAAGTCATGCATTTGAACACAAGGCAATCAAAATATGGGCTAAATTTACCAAAAGTATCAATTACTTTAATGTTTACTGTAGCTAATAAGTATTATAATGGTTAATTATTACAGGTGATTGAAAATTGGGGACTATGTATAAAAATGTCTGTAATTCCAAAACAATTAATGCAGTGCTTTTGTTAAACCTCTTGAATGAAAGCTCAGAGTCTGTATTTCAATAACATCTTGACTTTATTTATAATCCACTTTAATGGTATACAGAGACAAAAATGTATCTTTGTCCAACAACTTATGGACCTAATTCTATATGCAACATAACTGATTATAGTATTACATTATTAAATATATTTTCTGTACTTTTTTGTATATTTTTATTGGTTTAAGTTCCTTGTTTCCTTGCTTAGTATAATTTTTTTTTAACTTTTCCAACATATTTTGTTTTGTATGAATTTATTTTACTTTAATGAGCTAAATCATTTTTGATGCGTTGGTTGCTGTTGCTGTTTAATTTTTACAGTTTTACCCAAATTTGCTGTAGAAATGCTGTTATTGTCCTGCGGTTTTGTGATTATTCTGAGTTGCTGTTTTCTGTTGTATTCAGTTTTGATTTTGCGGTTGTTTTAGTAATTTCGAGTTTTTGTGACATTATTAAGTTTATGTTTCCTGCTTCTACTTTATGGTTGTTCTAATGATGAATTAGATTGTTGTGATAAAGTTTTGTTAAACTGATATTGTTTTTAACTTGTGTTTTTATTTTATTGTTATTGTCTTACTCGTGTTTCCCTGCCTGTGCATCCCTATGCCAAATTCCCACATAGCAAAATTGGTATGGCCAGGATCTTGCCCACACAATGTGCTTACACATGGCCCACATACCGCAAAGAATGACGGCCCTTTGGTGGCCTAGACCTGGTTTACCAGAGGTGGCCCACACATGGGCCAGCACAAGGCCAATTGTATACACACTTGTGGTCCTGTGCTGGCCCATGCGTGGATTACCTCTGGCAAACCTGATCTGGGCCACCAAAGGGCCGTCATTCTTTGCGGTATGTTGGCCATCTGTAAGCGGTGTGGAGCCACGGGCCAGTTGTAGACACACTGCTGGCCCTGTGCTGGCCCAGAACAGTTTCAGCTCTGGCCCCAGATGTCAGCCTAATGCGTACCTTAATCAAGGCATGTAATAACAACATGTGCCAGAACATGCAAAACAGTGCAAAAATAACATGACAAAACTCTGTTCAGACAGTGAAAGGACTGATTCTTATATAGTGCTTTTCTAGGCTATCAGATTACTGAAAGTGCTCTATGCAACATTCACACACTCTTTTTAACTGAGTGCTTTCTAACTACACTGATACACATTCAAACTCTTGACATGCAAACTGGAGAAACCCGGGAT